GCTTCTTGCTGCTGCTGCTGCTTCTGCTGCTGCTGCTGCTGCTGCTGCTGAGCCAGGCCCTGTTGCTTCATCTTCCTGTAGAGGGTCTTGGCCACCGAGCGGATGGCCTCCTTCCCGCAGATAGTTGCTGCAGCGCTCAGTTGCCACTCAAAGCTGCTGCTGCTGCTGCTGCTGTTGTTGCTGCTGCTGCTGCTGATGCTGGAGTCGAGGCAGCCGCTTGAGACTGGGGGCGGCGACGGAGGGGGCCCAGTGAGAGCTGCATGCGCCCACTTAGTTGCTGCTTCTGTGGCTCTTTTTGCTGCTGCTGCTGCTGCTGTCTCGAGCACGGACTGAAAAGCAGCAGCAGCAGCAGCAGCAGCAGCAGCAGAAAACGGCGAAGGACAAAACAGCTGGTCGAAGCAAGGAAAAGATATCAGGCTGCAGCTCTCAAGATCAAAACATTGGACAGTTAAGCTGCTGTCGGGCGGCACTAGGGGCAGCTCCCTTTGCTGCTGCAGGTTGCTTTGCTGCTGCAGCTCCTGCAGCAGGCGCTGCTGCTGCACCTCCTGCTGCACCTCCTGCTGCACCTCCTGCTGCAGCGGCTGCTGCGCCTGAAGCAGCTGCTCACTTACCCGCATCCCTATGGCGGATTGCGAACTCAGCAGCAGCGGGCGGTCAGGGGGGCCTACCTGCAGCAGCTGCAGCTGCTGCCGCTGCAGCTGCTGCAGCTGCACCTGCATCTGCTGCAGCTGCTGCAGCTGCTGAAGCTGCTGCAGCTGCTGCTGCTGGTGCTGCTGTATGGGCAGCTGCCGCCACGCTGGCATCTGAGGGACCCACGGACCCTCCACCCAATGTTGCTGCTGCAGTTGCTGCAGCTGCTGCTGCTGCAGCTGCGACTGATACTGCTGCTGGAACTGCCGCTGCTTCTGCTGCTGCTCTTGCTCCTGCTGCAGTAGGAACTCTATCTCGACGTTTTCTGCAGAGTAGAAGTCCTGCTGCGGCTGCAGCTGGTGCTGCTGCAGCTGCTGCTGCAGCTGGTGCTGCTGCTGCTGCTTGGCGCTGCCGAGTGACTGCGTCCCTGGTGCGTCGCCCAGCTGGGGGCCCCTTCTGCTGCTGCTGCTGCTGCTGCTGCTGCTGCGCTGCCTGGTGCCTGAGGTGTCTATACACCGCAGCAGGGCCCCCCGAGCTGCCACGGGAAAAGGTATTTCCAACATTATATAACAATCTTTCAAGAAGTAAATGCTGCTGCTGCTAAGGCCCCGCAGCACGGGAGCAGCAGCAGCCCACATGTCCCACTGTTTGCACACCCACTGACACCAAGCTTCGTCCAGTTTGCTTTTGTTGCTGCTGCTGCTGCGCAAGCTGCGCATGCTCTCTTTGCTGCTGCTGCAGCAGCTGCTGCTGCGGCTGCTCACCACCCAGCTCTCGCGGCGACGCCATTGTGAGTGCGGCTTCTTCTGCTGCTGCTGCTGCAACTGCAACTGCAGCAGCAGCTGCTGCTGCTGCTGCTGCTGCTTTTGTTGCAAAGTGCCCCCATCTCCGCTGCTTTGGGCCCCTATGTCGCCAAAGTGGGAGTAGCTGGACCACACTTCGGCTGCTGCTTCTTGCTGCTGCTGCTGCTGCAGCTGCTGCAGCTGCCCTTGTTGCTGCTGCTGCTGGTTTAAATCCAGCCGCAGCAGCGAGCTGCGACTGTCCCTCTGCTGCAACAGCATGTTGGATTGAGTGTAGTAGTAGTACTCGTTGCCAGACGGCTGCTGCTGCTGGTGCTGCTGCTGCTGCTGCTGCTGCTGCAGCAGCAGCTGCTGATGCTGTTGCTGCTCTTTCGTGCAGACGCCTGAAGCGACCCAGAAGGGGCCTTGCTGCTGCTGGCTTCTTGCATCTGAGTGTTCTTGCTGCTTCATGTGCATCTGAAGCTGCTGCTGCAGCTGCTGCTGCTGCTGCTGCTGCTGCAGGTGCTGCTGCGGCCGCTGTCCGCGGGGGCTGCCTCTCCTGCTGCCGCTGAGCAGCAGCGCCTGACGCTTAGTAGCAGCAGCAGCAGCAAGCGTTGCTGCTGCTGCTGCACTGTCAGCAAACGGTAAGGCGGCCTCAGCAGCTGCTGCAGTGCTTGCCTCTTCGTGCTGCTGCAGCATCAACAGCCAAGAGCTCTGTGAAATAGCTTCCTGCTGCTGCTGCACCTGCTGCTGCTGCCTCACCTGCTGCTGCTGCTGCTGTTGCTGCTGCTGCTGCGCTTGCTGCCAATGGTGCTGCGGCTGGTGAGCAACCCACTTCATGTTCTGTGGAGTGTCGGGAGGCCGCGCAGCAGCAGCAGCAGCAGCAGCAGCAGAAGCAGCAGCAGAAGCAGCAGCAGCAGCAGCAGCAGGGACAGCGCAGCCCCGCCTGCTGTAAACCTCACGGAGACCCTCAGCAAAGCCCTTGGGGCCCCTGGGGCCCTCATGGGGCCCCACATGAGAGAAGCGGGGCCCCTGGTTTACGCGGCTTGCGAAGGCCAGCAGCAGGTGTTCCTCCCACGGCTGCTGCTGCAGCTGCTGCAGCTGCTGCTGCTGCAGCTGCTGCTGCTGCTGCTGCTGCTGTAGCCCCGGCTGCTGCTCCCTCCACCGGCTGCGCAGCTGCAAGTTTGTCTGAAGGGGAGCAGCAGAGGGGGCCTCAGCAGCTGCGTTGTCTCGCTGCTGCTGCTGCTCGTACGGCAGAGTCTGCTGCTGCTGCTGCTGCTGTTGCTGCTGCTGCTGAGACTTTCTTCGACCCTTCTTTTTTCGCTTGACTGCTGCCGGCTTCTCCGCTTCTTGCTGCTGCTGCTGCTGCAGAGACTCAAATTGAGTCTGTTGGCTACCTTCTAAGGCAGTAGCAGCAGCCGCAGTACGAGCAGCAGCA